ACAGACTGGTTTCTATAGCTTCGGATGGCAACTGGTCTCGGGGAAGAACAACTCTGAATTCAAGACCTGCGGAGAGTCGTTTGGGAACCTTGTGGCATTCGGTGCACCAGGTCTCTGTATTCGTCCCTTCAAAAAGTGTGGATGGTCCTGCACGAGGCCTTCACCACTATAATCAAATCTCATGTGCCGGTGTCCGGCTGTCAGTTTCCTGGAAACTGATCTGCTTGACCCTCATACGTCGAACCCGACGGGAGAATCGATATATATATATATATATATATATATAAGGCACCATGAATCTGTTTTAAGTAGATACAATAGCTTGCTTGATATAGATATCTATATAGTAATCATTTTACCATTCTCACTCTGTGTGTGTGTGTGTGTATAATGTTATCCATATACAGGCCTGTTTCGCTGTATCACAGTTCATCAGTGTGGTTAGACATCCAATTGCTTCAAGCCGGCATCGAAACCCGACCCATTTGGCACCAGTCGAAGTTTCTACCCCTGATCTATCAGGGAAAATGTAGTATATTTTTTTTACGAATATAAACAAACGCCAGATAGCAATAGTGCTCAATTCATTTTCAATGAAGATATATATATATATATATATATATATATATATATAAGAGAAAAGGGAAACGTTTCATAGTCGACGCGTTTCGTCTGCTGATAGACTTTATCAGGGTAAATGTAAGGGCTTTACTTTGCTAAACGTATTTATAAACAGAATTAAATATCGTTAGTTTTTCAGAATTTTTAATTTAATTTAACAGCTCTCATAAATATACATCAGTTTAAAAGAAAGTCAATGTAAACTATGGAGGATGCTAAGTGACATAATTTAATGCCTAATAAACGAAGCTGAATAAATTTTATTGTTGTTGATGTTTTTTTTTACATATTATTTATTTTATCCAAATTTAAGAAAATTAATTTATGTATTTATATATTGTAAATAATAGAAGCTTTGGAATTTAATCGTTTTATTTTTTTTTTAAATTATAGTCGTGTATATTGGCTTGGAAAAGGAGTATATATTTTAGGAAAGGAATAAAAACCCTGGGAGGGAATTTATATTTTGATAAGATTTGATAGCGCCACTCTCAAGTATTTTCGTCTAAGTAATTTACTTTCTCTTTTAATAAATGTGGCATTCTTTAGATCGGAGGTTATGGTTGAAATTGTTTCAAAATGTGACTAATGCATTTGATAAATTACTATGTAAAGAACCTTTTGTGTTCATAGACATATTTCTAAATTTCTGCAATTTTCCCCAATATTTCCATACATACATACATACATATATATATATATATATATATATATATATATATATATATATATATATATATATATATGTGTGTGTGTGTGTGTGTGTGTGTAGATCATAATATAAAAATCTGTACGTGGTAAGGACAATCCGAATAGGTCTTTTTACTATAAAGTAGTAAAAGGTAGATCCATGGAGAGAGCTCAATGTATTAAAATACAGAGCAATATGATATACATCAAAGGAAAAACTCAGTAAATCATGAAAGAAACTTTTGACAAACTCAATGCATCATGAAAGACACTTTTGACAAACTCAATGCATCATGAAAGACACTTTTGACAAACTCAACACATCATGAAAGACACTTTTGACAAACTCGATACATCATGAAAGACACTTTTGACAAACTCAATGCATCATGAAAGACACTTTTGACAAACTCAATGCATCATGAAAGACACTTTGACAAACTCAACACATCATGAAAGACACTTTTGACAAACTCGATACATCATGAAAGACACTTTTGACAAACTCAATGCATCATGAAAGACACTTTTGACAAACTCAATGCATCATGAAAGACACTTTTGACAAACTCAACACATCATGAAAGACACTTTTGACAAACTCGATACATCATGAAAGACACTTTTGACAAACTCAATGCATCATGAAAGACACTTTTGACAAACTCAATGCATCATGAAAGACACTTTTGACAAACTCAATGCATCATGAAAGACACTTTTGACAAACTCAACACATCATGAAAGACACTTTTGACAAACATCATGAAAGACACAGACAAACTGAAAAAGACACTTTTGACAAACTCAACACATCATGAAAGACACTTTTGACAAACTCAACACAGCATGAAAGACACTTTTGACAAACTCAACACAGCATGAAAGACACTTTTGACAAACTCGATTTTGACAAACTCAACACAGCATGAAAGACACTTTTTGACAAACTCAATACATCATGAAAGACACTTTTGACAAACTCAACACATCATGAAAGACACTTTTGACAAACTCAACACATCATGAAAAGACACTTTGACAAACTCAACACAGCATGAAAGACACTTTTGACAAACTCGATACATCATGAAAGACACTTTTGACAAACTCAATGCATCATGAAAGACACTTTTGACAAACTCAACACATCATGAAAGACACTTTTGACAAACTCAACACAGCACGAAAGACACTTTTGACAAACTCAACACATCACGAAAGACACTTTTGACAAACTCAACACAGCATGAAAGACACTTTTGACAAACTCGATACATCATGAAAGACACTTTTGACAAACTCAACACATCATGAAAGACACTTTTGACAAACTCAACACATCATGAAAGACTCTTTTGACAAACTCAACACATCACGAAAGACACTTTTGACAAACTCAACACAGCATGAAAGACACTTTTGACAAACTCGATACATCATGAAAGACACTTTTGACAAACTCAATGCATCATGAAAGACACTTTTGACAAACTCAACACAGCATGAAAGACACTTTTGACAAACTCAACACATCATGAAAGACACTTTTGACAAACTCAATGCATCATGAAAGACACTTTTGACAAACTCAACACATCACGAAAGACACTTTTGACAAACACAATACATCATCAAAGACACTTTTGACAAACTCAACACATCATCAAAAACACTTTTGACAAACTCAATGCATCATCAAAGACACTTTTGACAAACTCAATACATCATCAAAGACACTTTTGACAAACTCAACACATCAGGAAAGACACTTTTGACAAACTCAATGCATCATCAAAGACACTTTTGACAAACTCAATGCATCATCAAAGACACTTTTGACAAACTCAACACATCATCAATGACACTTTTGACAAACTCAGTACATCGGTAAAGAAACTTTTTGACATTTTTGTTTTTTCACCCTCCCCTTTACCTCTTCAAGGACTTTTCCACGTCAAATCTTTCATTCATTTCCTCTTGTAATTTTTAATAAATTATCTGGATGATTTATACCTCTCTCTCTCTATATATATATATGTACAATTGAATAGACTGTCCAACAATTATATAATATATTTTCTGTTTATACGTTATTTTAATAGATACAATTTATCTAAGTAAATGCTTTGTTTTTTTTAATTAAACAGTATTAATTACATTTACCGGCCTGAATGTTCGAGAAATTTCATAGAATAATGTACATTCTTCATGTCCTACACGAAATCGTCTTCTGATCTGACGTGCTTAAACCCCTAAGCTATAGAGAAGCGTTTGGTTAGCAAAGTCCAAATTAAAGTTTTTAAACACACAACCTTCGACGAATCTTATCTATCAATCATATCTGCTCATGAACCGCATCTTATTGTAAACAATGACAATATAGAAAGAAATGGACTAAGTCCGACAGAGCATTAACTTAAATAAATTGTATCTATTAAAAAAATAACATATAAACAGAAAATATATAAAATAATTGTCGGGGTTAGTCCATTTCATTGTATATTGTCATAAAGAATGGCGATTTTAAAAGACAATAAAAATTGCGCGTAAAATAAATGTAAACACACACACAGATCGGTCGCGTATACGAAGAAAGATTATGTCGATTTAAGGTGTGGAATAAAGAAAAATAATTTATTATTTCTA